CAGCTCTGCAAGCTGCACTGTTTGCCAGTTTGCTTCCTGATTCAATTCAAAGTTTTGACCTTTAAAGCCCTTTATGGCATGGGGCTGGGTTTTCTGAGGGATGCTTCTTCCTGATTACTTCTGCCTGCCCCATCTGGTCTGGCAGAGAAGGCATGCTGTGGGTCCCATCTGTCATAAAATTACATTGGGGGGGTGTCCCAGGAGGGGGGGCTTCTCTGTTGCTGTGCCTGCCTTGTGGAATCTTCTCTCCCAAGAAGTGAGATTAACTCCATCCCTCTCAACTTTCCTCAAGTCCCTCAAGATTTGACTATGTTATCAGGCCTGGGGTCTTCTAGGGGACTGGATAGATTTTGCAATGGCTCCTTTGGAGTGTCATTATAATCCTCTCTTTTTATGTTATTTTTAAAATTCTGATTGTTTCTTATGTATTTTTATTTTACACCACCCAAAGTCATTTTCTTATGAAGTGGGGGCTTATACAAATGTAAAATAAACAAGCAAATGGGCCAAAATTCAGTCTCCTTCAATGACATCATTTGGTTCCCAAGGAGATCTACTTCAAAATACAAGGATAGCTTTCAAATACATCTTTTCTGACAGAGCCAACCTTGTAAGTGCTTCATTTGGAGTACATGCAAGCACTTCTACTATGCATTCCCTTCCTTGAAGGATACCACTGAATGGCCAAACTGGAATGTGTTTGCAAGCAGCCAAGGAGGTAGGATCTGGGAGAATATTGATTTCGGATATTTCTGCTGTTTCTGATAATTGGGAGAGGAGACTTTGAGAACTGAACTTTGGATCAGGGGTCTTCAAACCTTGCATATTAGTCCTTATCCTTAACTTAAAAGACACAATCACATGCAGCCTTTCTGTTATTGTATGCTAGCTGCAAATTTGCTTTTGGACACTTTCAAACTCTGCATAAAACTAGAAATAAAAATATATTTCTCTGTCGGAACTCTTTCATCATTTGGCAAAGCAGATTCTGTTTTCATTCTCATAAACTAATGCAATAGCTTAGGATGCCCTAAAAGCAAAGCCATCGCTCATGTGAGCTGAAACTTGGAATAATCTTTCTCTAACACTTTTTTGATTTCTTGTTGGCTTTATAGGGAATGATCTGGATGTTAGGATTTCTCTGATGACAGTTGATGAATAAAGAGTTTTCATGGGAACGTCACTTTTGGCCACAAGATTCAGCCTTGCTTCATATTCTGATTTGTAATTCGAAACAATCTGTAGCTTCTTACCCACACAGAAATTGAGGAAAATGCAGAAATGCAAAATCAGGAAGGGTCTCTTCAGCAAGCTTCTTTAGAGACAGTGGAATTAATCCTGTTTGTCAACTCTACAACGAACCTGTTTGCAGTCATCTTGCTCATTCTAAGTTGTCATCTGAATGGGAAGGAGGGCGGAGTATCTTTGCTAATCTAAACAATTCTGTGTCCTGTGGTAACCAAGGTCTTTCTATCGACTATGTTAGAGGATTGGGCATATTGTTAGAAAGCCTTTTTGTCTTTTAACAATGGACAAATAAAAAAAGTAATGTCTTCTACAATCGAATTATCAGCAAAAGTTCAAACAGAGTTGCAAAATAGTAACATTAATTAACATATATAAAACTTAACATTTCACTTCTCAATTCCTGACATCCTAGTGTAAAGAAAAAACTAAAGCTTAACATAATAAAGACCATTTCTCCTTTAAAAAAAATACAAGCTCTAGTTTTCCATTCCAAATAACAAAAATTCCAAAGAAAACTATTCCAAATAAAAATATATCCACTTCTATACTTCCATATCTCAACTTTAAACTATAAGCAAATCCACATTTAGCAAAAATTAAGTAATCCCAGTATCCTAACATAAAAAAACTAAAATTTAACATAACAAAGAGGGATAATTTCTCTTTTAAAAACTAATTCACAAAACTTTCTGAATGTAAAAAGATAATTAGATGCAGAGCTGGTTTAAATGCTATCAAATTAGGATACATAAAACACCATAGGCGGAAAAACACCATATTAAATGCCAGCAAATCCAATATGCCACATTTTTCCAATCCAAATATCAGCCTCTAAAAAGAACGACCAAATAACAACATGTCCCATTTTAACCTGGTCATATAAACTAACTTTGTATTTCTTTTTTTTTAAATACAGAATAATCTTTCACTTAATCTATTCAGATGATTGTTGATCCTTACTATGAATTTCTTCAATAATCTAAACAGCCTCCTTTGTAAGTCTAACAAAAGGAAATTGTTCCAGTTGCTCTCTGAAATTGCCATTTTTATTTCTTTCTTAATTTTTAAAGCCTCATCCATTTTTTTTCTTTATATCTGATGACCAATTCTTATCCAAAGTCTTGATCACGTTATTTTCAGGCTAGATTTTCTTGCATATTTTTCTTCAAATGGACTGCTCCCCATGAGACACAACATAGCTGACATAATTGATTGAAAGCACCAGTGCAGTTCTGGGTGCAATTCCTCAAGGATATCTCTGAACGCCATTATAAGATACATGTCTTGTTATGTCTCCAATATCAAAAACAGTTTTTCTTTCCCCCAAAAATGCATTTACTTTTTAAGATTATTTTCAGTCTTAATATTCAAAATCCATTATTCCAATATTTTCTGAGCTCTTAATGCTTTTAAGCCAAAACTCTGTCTTGGTGTTTTGCTGTTTATTTCACATTCTTAACGTTTATAATGATAACTCTTCATTTTCTCATATAGAAGACTTGAAGGCACTCACTTAGTGTTTGCAATCTTACCACTTTCAAGGTGTCTAACTTCTTTGAAGAAGTTAACAGGCAATTTCTGAAAGTGGTAGAAAGGGAAGAGCAAGCTTACTGCCTTTTGAAAAAGCACCATTTGCAGCTGAAACAATTATGGCAAATTCCATAGTCTCATCATTCTCCCACCACCACCACAACCCCAAAGACTGCTGTCTTGTGGTCTCTTTGTGAGGAACAACTGCAAGAAGAACAGCTTGGATTTCCTCTGTTTATCCAGAGAGGGTTGAAAGAACCAATATGCTCATTGGGTCTCTATTCATGGTCACAAATGTTGACTCCACCATCGTCTGTCCACCATCTTCATACACTTTTTACTGAGAAACCTTTGTGTGTCCATATTTAATACAAAATTATTATTACAGTGTTAACTTGTATTTGTGTTGGGAAACACAGCTGTTGGGAAAGTAACTTTAGACTACTGTAACATGCTCTACATGAGACTGCCCTTGAAGACCAACTGGAAACTTCAGTTGTTGCAGAATGCAGGCATGTAGGTAGTAACTGGAGCCAGATATACAGCACATGTAACATCACTCCAGTGTGAGCTGCATTGGTTACCAGTGTGTTTCCAGGTGCAATTCAAGGTGCTGGTGGTTACCTATAAAGTCCTACATGGCTTGGGACCAGGGTACCTGAGTGATCACCTCTTGTCATAGTTTCTACCCGTCCAACCAGATCAGATAGGATGTGCGTGCTGCAGGTCCTGTCAAAGAATGTTGCTGACAGGGACTAGAACAGTGGTTCTCGTGTTGTGGTGACCCCCAACCACTTATACATCACCGGGTGCCAGGGGCGTGGCCAAAGAAAAGGGGAAAAAATGGCGGACAGCCTTGTTTGGCGACCCCTGTGAAATGGTCGTTCGACCCCAAATGGGGTCCTGACCCACAGGTTGAGAACCACCGGACTAGAAGATAAGCTTTTCCTGCTCTGTGGAATATCTTCCCTTCAGAGATTAGAATGCCCCCAACACTGTTAGCCTTCCATAAAGCTTTAAAAACCTGGCTATGCTCCCGGGTCTGGGGCGCTACATGTACCAAGAGCCCCACTTTCTGGCTATATTTTAATAGGCCAGATGTCTTGCTTTGTATGTACTCAAATTAGATATTTTAATGTTTTATTGTTTTAATGGTTTTTGCTGTTTTTATTCCTTTAAAATGTTTTAATGATTTTAATTGTAATATATGTTTTTGAATTGTGAGACATTCAGAGTTGTTTGCTGAGATGGATAGCTATAGAAATCAAATAAATAAATAAACTTATCAATGAGTTTTACAAAATAATTCATTAAATACACTTTTGCTTAATAATTCTAAGTAAATTCAGTAATACTTTAATAGCTCAAAAAGGACATAGATAGTTCATTCATGGAAATAATTCAAATACAATTAAATTAATTGATTTTTCAGTTGTAATACAGATAACTGAAGCTTTAATCCTTTCCATGCCTACATTTTATGTATTAATCTGTCTAGTTTTCTGTCTGATAATGCTAATCATTTGTTAAACAGTTTTTTAAATCTGCAGTTCTATATGGTCTATACAGAACATTTTCTAAATATGTCACAGGAATGTAGCATATTAAAAGCACGATTCTTATATTATATAAGATTATAATAAACCTTCCACAAATGGATGGTTTAAGGCAACTTTTACCAACTTAATGCCCTCCAATCTTGACACTCCAATTCCAACACATCTGGAAAGTGTCAGGTTTAAATTATGTATCTTCTCTTGAATATATACTCTTGCTAAAATGAATGCAACCCATCGTACTATTATAATTTTTCATCAATAGTTGGCTATCAAAACATGTCACTGTTTTTAATGAAAGGTAGAAGGAAGAAGAGGAAGGGAGAGACAAAAAAGGAAAGAAATTCTACTAAAGCAACTATTCTAATTTGCAAATTCTATTTCATTTTTCAGAAGGAATAAAACAATTATAGTCTATCATATTTCTATTCTTTAATATCACTTTTTTTTAAAAAAAATCAGTCCCTACATAAATGATCCTATTTATTTTTAAAAAGATATCCATTTATTGGTATGTAATCCGCTAAATTTTATTGCCATATATCCTTTTACTTTCATGTCATCATAAAGTATAAAACAAAGCAAAGAATACTGTATCTTCAAATTGAAATCCACAGCAGTCATAATAATATAGGTGCAATGCATAAATAAATATCCGTCACCTACCTTGAAACTGTGTGAATTTGATGGTCCCCATCCTCTCTCCATTTCTGAACATAACTTGACCCTAAGTAAAGTAAATAGATACCTTATAATAAGGTTTGTGATACCCTTACAAAACTTGCTTATTTTAAATAACAATAAGAATAATTATCTAACACAGGGATAGACAACCTGTGCCATGAGAACTGATGACCATGGTCCTCTTTCTTGGTTCACTTCACACTCTCTACCTATCTAGTTTTTTTAAAAAAAAAACTGTTCTAGCAGTAATTGGTCTAATGGTTAAAGTATCAAGTTAGAAAGTGAGAAACCATGAGAAAGTCATGTCTCAGCCATGAAACTCAACTGAATGATTTTGGGGCCAGACATTCTCTCAGCCCAACATATCTCACAGGGTTGCTGTTGTAGGGAAAATAGGAGGAGGAAGATGGATATGCTCACCAGCTTGAGTTAGTTGCAAAAATAATAAAGGTAGGAAATAAATAAATAAATGTAGTGCTAAACTACAATGCATCAGCTGCCAGCATCACCTTTATTTTCATCAATGTCTCTAGGCCCATATAAACCATGTAGGCATTCTTAGAAAGTAAAATGGCCCATGTCTGTTGCTTAGTGTTTAATTTGGCATTATGCATGCCTTACCAAAAAGTAGATTGGAAGATATAATCCTGTAGGAATACAGGATTGCAAAGAAAGAACCACACTAGTTTGCCTTCTTATAAATGGGTACTTTGTGAATGTTCATGCAGAATCTGACAGCCATTTTATGAGAATGCCTGTAATATGTCCTCTAAATTCTAAAAGTTTTTACTTGGTCAAAAATATGGTTTACTGCTGATTTCATTAAGCGTAAATGCCTCCTAATCAATGTATGCTTGAAAATCATAGACCTCAATAATCTAGTGGAGCTTTATTTACAAAACCTATTTTTAGTGCTAAATAATACATATAAGAAAGTATTGAGATCAAGGCCATAATGAATGATACCTATAACAAAGACAACAGATCTAGCTTACTGAATAGCTAGCCAAACCTAGCCAATTGTTTTAAAGATGTATCTTATAAATTGCAGAATCTAATATGTGAATAAACTACATTTTAGAGTTTGAAAACAAATCACATACATGCATGAGAAGTTAATTATTTTACTAATTCCTTTGCAGACATGGACTTACTGCAAAGAAAGGTGTGAATTGTAAGCTACTATACTGCTGTAAGCTTTCAAAACAGGCAACATTTTAAAAATATGCCATAAGCACATGAAATTTAATTGAATGCAACAGAGAGGATTTCTGTATGCTTTGGCCAAGCTAAGCAAGTACTGCATTAGAAAAGGAATCAAAGAGCTTTTAAAAATATATTTTTAAAAAACATAGAAGCCTGTATACAAAATTTAATTTTGTAAATAGAATGGAATTCAGAACTTTACCACTTCCACCAGCTCTTAGGAGCTGGGAAATCATAAGAATAGTGTGCACTAGAATTACATACAGCTCCTTAAATTCCTCAAAGTCTATCTACAAGTTGCCATTTCATAGTATTTTTTTTAAAACACCTGGCAGAGGAATTCTGGGAGTTGAAGTCCATGAGTCACAAAAGGGCCGAGTTTGAAGACCCCTGCTCTAAATAATACTGCAAGATCCAATCTGGGTCAGTCACCAGGATAGAGGTTTAGTCTTCCTAGCTTTTGGACTTGTGTTGGAGCCCATCCTCAGGGAACTTCTCTCTAGTACAGTGTATGCGTTGGGCTATTCTATGTGTTGTATTTATATGGTGCATTCCTATTGGTTGATTGGTGTGTTGATGGCTGGCGATTGGCTGTTGTTTCCTTGTGCTGCCAAGTCCTTGGTTCCTAAATACCTAATCAGCTGGTGGTAAATCAGGACTCCTGTTGACTAAAAAGGGGCCCATTTCCCAGGCTTCAATCATTTCCCTGGCTATCTTTGTATCTGCACAGCCAACCATCTTAGTAGCTGCAAAATTGAATGTATTGTTCATTGCAATAAATAACACTTCTTACTACGATATTTCTTCCTACTTTGTAATGTCCCAAACTATACCCTATGGATAGTGTACTCTGCCTTACAGCACTATCAACAGAGAGCACCTAAATATGGACATTGGGATAAGCATGTGTCTTAATTAATCTCTTATTAGGTGGTTGTGCGGTATTTGATGCACAGTAACTGAAAATATGACATGATGTTAAGTCAAATGAAAATTATGTTACTAAGGATAGATAGATAATGGCTGTTAAATTTGATAAAGACTCCATCAACATTTGTGTACAAACTAATTTTGAGTGAATAGGGGTAAAAAGAACTGGAACTGTTAGGTTGGCTGCATTTTTCCTTGAATCAGTGTAAGCTTTTCTGAAGCCACATTGTTAACTCTTTATATTAAATCTGTAAACTGAGACTGAGTACTGTTTGAATTGTAAACAACAAGAACAACAAGGAATTAGGTCAAGCCAGGTAATTTGATTTTCCCAAACACAGGTTCCAATGTAAAGAAGTACGCAAGGATTTAGCTTAAAAGATACATTAAGCAGCACATACCTGGTTACAATATTCCATTAGCATAAATTGATCATTTATTGAATTCTCATTTCCATTCTTGCACAAATTTCAAATATATAACATTTTGTTTTACTAACTGGTTTGCTTTTATATACTAGAAATATGACATATCTCAAGAAATAATACAAGATGACGTAAACACAAGATCTAATATTCCAGCAGCTCAAAACAAAAAATTGCTACAAAATTAAACTTATGAAATGCAGGAAGCAAGAATTAACAAAAAATAAAATAAAATTTTAATAGAATCAGTAGAACCAGAACCAGTTTGAAGGTTAAAATGGAAATAGAACTAAGTGTTGCAATAAAAGAATCTTAATTTCCCCAACAAAAAAATACTAAAATTGAGCAGCTTCATCAACATTTATTTTTCTGTGAACCATTCATTTTGCTTCTTTTTTCATAATGAAAGATAGTATACAAAGAGTGATAATGAACCTTGAACGCCCATAGGCTGAAAATTCTATCTGGCCAATGTTTTGACCCTGAACTACTGTGTACCAAATATAGAAATTTACTTTATTTTTCCATTAATTCAGTTTTGATGCTGTACAAATCTGGGCAGCTCAGAAAATTAAAACAACAACATAAAACAACACATAAATAAGAACATAACACAATTAATAAAAAAAACAATTACAAAACATTTGTTTTGTAATGTCAATCCAGGCAACACATATTTTAAACAGGGGCATCCATCATCCTACCCAAACGCCTGGGGGAATAGCCAGATTTTCAAGGCCTTCCAGAACAACATCAGGGTGGAAGTTATTCAGCTCTTAGCGAGACCTCCTTCTAGAACAGCGGTTCTCAACCTATGGGTTGCGACCCCATTTGGGGTCGATCGACCATTTCTCGGGGGTCGCCAAACAAGGCGATCCGCCATTTTTCCCCTCAGGGGGCGGTGCCGCGCATGCGTGCCACGCATGGGGCGGTGCCGCGCATGCGTGCCACGCATGGGGCGGTGCCGCAAATGTGTGCCATGCATGGGGCGGTGCTGCGCATGCGCGCCGCACATGGGGCGGCGCCACGCATGCGCGCTGCGCATGGGGCGGTGTCGCGCATGCGCGCCGTGCATGGGGCGGTGCCGTGCATGCGCGCCGCACATGGGGCGGTGCCGCGCATGCGCGCCGCGCATGGGGCGGTGCCGCGCATGCGCACTGCGCATGGGGCGGTGCCGCGCATGTGTGCGGCACGTTTGGGTGACGGGGGTCGCCGTCACACAAACGCTGAGAACCACTGTTCTAGAATCTAGATGGAGGTGATGTTACAAAGAAGGCATGCTTCCTGAATTCCAAAAGATTACACTGTTTAACTGAGGAGACCCAGAGCATGCCCACTTTATTCAATCATTTTGGCTAGGCAGAAATCACAGGACAGAGACAGTCTCTCAGATAATCCAGCTGTTTTTTAAAAAAATTATAACAACAAAATCACAACATCCATGAAACTGCAGCACAGTCTTTAATGTAGTCAGTCAGGCTTTAATGTAATACTGCCTACATTTTGAAAAGCTATAAAATTAATATTAAAATAGGAGTTTTGGAAAATCCAAAGAGAAAATCAAGTTATGTATTGTATTATTTGGACAGTGGTAAAAATAAAATATATTTTATACCATGAGGTTAAAATTATTTCTTTTTTTAAAAAATATATTTTATTGGTTTTATCATTTTAACACAAAGTATTTAAGACACACCGTGGTGTTTGGGTAAACAAAGAATCCAACATAAAATCACAAAATAACAGTTCAACTTAATACATTCGCTGTCGTCTCTCTATATCCCTCAAATAACATAATAAATTTAATATATTTCATTTCTATCCTTAATTTCTATTACTACTAAACCTGTTTATTAAAACTTTATCAATTTCAATTACCATAATCAAATAGTATTTTACATCAACATATTACCCCTTCAAATATATCTTGCAAATATATTCAAATTCTTAATCTCTCTCATCCCTTTTATTATTTATTATTATTATTTCCATGATCATTATTCATATTCACTGCAAATGTCTTGAATAGATGGTGTCAAATCCACATGGCTTTTAATAATTCTAATCATGCCAGCACGGTAAAAGGTTGCAGGAAATTACAACAGTCAAATCTATCCACGAAGAAGAGTAAGAGTCACAAGAAAAAAAAATAATTTGTACCACTTCAGATATTCAATTGGATTTATGATTTTTTTAAAAAAAATATTTAGAATTCCCTACTCCTGAGTTGAAGAGTAGTACATGAGGGAGAACAGTTTAACAAGGCTTGCTTTGCTAATTTCTTATTTTCGGGGAAGTCTTAAATTTTAAAACAAGAAATCATCATCACTATCATCATCATCAAATTTATATGGATGCCCCTATCGCCAATGTGACTCTAGGTAGTTAATAACATATAAAGAAAGCAAAAAAACAACAACAACCCAGCAGTTAATATATAAAAGTTATAATGATTGTCAAGATTTTAAAAAATTAAATAAAC